CTTACTACCTCAGAAATATGGGAATGCACAAATGTAGTTATGTAGGGTTTGGCCTATGTACTACAAGTTTTATGCTGCAATCTCTAGATAGTGTGTGTGGGGGGATGAAAACTGGGTGTTTGTACTAGATGTTCACCTCTGAACATTTGCAATTGTGGCAGGGTGGGACTTGATGACCCAAATGGCTTCTCAAAGTTTTTCTAACTTTAATTGTTTTAAAACCGGTTTTTGAAGTATTAACCAGGAACAGTATAATTTACAAAGACATTACAATCTATCAGTCTGTGGATCTTCTTCTGTGAACAAACAATATCTCCCCTACTAAATTCAGTAACAGTCTGACGAATACTTAACACAAGTGAATTCTTAGCTTTTCAAGGAATGTTTTGAAGCTCTTCATCTGCAAACCCTGAACACAGGGTTTTTAAAAAATATATTGAAGAGGCTTATGAAAGATGACGAAGAAAAGTGTGTCCAGGTATGTTCTCTGTCAATAAACACTGCAAAACATCCAACAGCATCCACAGTTTCTCTGGCAATTTTTTGAGGTCTCTAAATTTAAAAGCAGCAAAGAACTAAAACTTTCAGCTAAGGATAACTCAAAATGAGAATAAAACTTTACTGTCCTGCAATTCAGAACATTTTCTTTAAGTCAAAGAGTGCTCTTTGTTGAAGTATATTCAGTATTTACACCTAGGACTGCAGAGGAATTTGCTTCTAGGACTACAGGCCACTGCATTTAACCACATTTGCCTGGTTTCTTTTTCTAGAATTTTACCCATGAATGGACCAATCTGAATGCTTGGGATTTCTGAATGCCTAGATATCCTGGGCATCCCTGTGCAAACAAACTTTAGTACATACTGTGTACTATGTACATAGTGTGCTGCACTTGGGCTGACACCGGCAGGATGCACTGGCTCTGAACACTCAGATCAGATCAGATCAGATCAGGGGACACACAGTGGCACCTGCTCAGTGTGGCTGATACCTCCCTAATGCACTGGGTTTACTGTGCAGGGCAGGTTACCTCTGCAGCTTCTGGGTGTCTTAGGCTACAGCACACACGCCACACCATAGGTGTGCTGAGCAGGAAAGCCTGGCCAGAAACATGAGAGCTGCAGTTCATGACATTGAATGGGCCTAATAAATATTGTAGGGCAGGAAATGCATTCAGTTGGAAGCATAATTAAGTACTGTTTTTTCCTTAAAGAGCCCTACAATACCATTAATTTTTCTACATACTTTCTATATGAGTTGATAAAGTTGCAGCTAAAAGCAGTAACTTAACATTAAATACAGCTTAGCAGGGGTAAGAAGAATTTTTAACAGAGCTATAATACGCACATACCATGGCATGTCACAGCATATACCAAAGGAGCTCCAACAGTGAATGGCCATTCAGTAGCTGCACAGTAACTCAGACACCATGATGCAATAACCTATCTATTCCTCTTACTAGGAGGGAAAATCCCATGGGGAGATGTTTCATTTAATTCTGCCTGCTTACCACTAGCTTTTAGTATAGGTTCTCACTTGATCAAGAGAATACACATAATATCATGGATTTTAGGACACTCCAGTCCCTACGTACATGTTGATTATATGCATCCAAAGCAAGCAGTTACAAGATGTATTCACTGGTGACTGTGTGTAATGCAAACAAGTGTTTGGCTCCCTCTGCACTGTCATGCTTCTGAGGCTGCTGACTTAGTACTTAGTTTATAATAATGTGGTTTATACTTGTTCCACTTGGATTTGGTATTTAAGCTAATAGTGTTCTTCCCCCAGAGGATTGTAGCATAAGGAAAACAATGAAACAGTTACAAACTCTACATCTCTTCTTTTTCTGTGTGTGTGAAATAAGCTATCCCATGAATATTGATGCCAAAACACCTACAAATACTGGATTAATCTCCAATGCACTGCATTTATAGAGGATACTCCAGCCTACAGTCCAATTAAATATGCAGAAGATTGCAATTGCTGGCACCCTCTGCCATCTCTGATTACTGCCCTGAACAGCAAAGGTCAGCACATTACACCTGATCAGCCCAGGAGGTTAGAACCCTGCCTGGAGCCTGGAATGAAAGGTTTCAAGCCAACCTGAAGGGGATGGGGTAACATCAGGTGACCTCAGAGTACTTTGCAGAGAAAGCAATCCCATCAAACGAGAACACAAAAAGGTGTCAGGGCCTGGGAAATAGATCTGTTCTCCAGCAAGTTGTTTGGCCTGGAGTGGACTTGATCACAATCCTACTAAGCCCTGATGCAAGTGGTGTGTAAGAGCCCCAACTTCTCTGGAGTAAGAACAGTGGAGATTGGAGCAAAATGGCTACACTCAGCCTGCAAAAGGATTGCTTTAGGGGACAGCAGTGCACCTCTCTGAATGCACACAGCACCCAGTCCTGCTCAGAACCCACACACTGCCCTATGCATATGAGGCAACACAGTCAATGGTGGTGCTCCCATCACTTGGTGAGCTGTCTCCTGCAAAAGCCCTTAGGCAAAGCAGCTGACCAACAGCATCCACAGACTGTGAATACATGGCAGGTTCACCAGCAGACAGCTGGGGAGCTGAAAACACACCTCTGTGCTTGTGGCACGTTGTGATCTGATGGTGAGAGAAACCTCCAAGTGCAAAGGGAAATCTACACCGTGTAGACTGATTCCTCTTGCATACTTGGTTCTATGTCTTTCCTGTGCTGAAGGGCGCATGCCATCAAATTGTAAGTGGAGAGAATATGTCAAAGACACTGATGGGGATGACTTGAGAAAAGTGCTGCTGCAGCAGGAAGGCAGTGATGTGCCTGGGTAGGATCAGCCTCATAGCCTGTTTGCACCCTGTTCTCCAGACAACACACACTTTTAACTCAACTACAAAAAGCATAAAAGTGCACCAGAGTCTGCTCTCTTACAGACACCATTCTGCAGGTCTTCTCTGACTCATCTGACTTGGCAACACAGAGATGAACTTCTGACTTTCAAACTCGATTGTTGTGTTAACTGCTGCCATACAAAGATCACAGGAACACCCTGGGTTTTCCTCAGTTTCTGATGAGAGGAACAGCACTGCTTCATTTGCCCTTGCAGCCAGGCCCATTTGTTTGTGATACACAGAGTTAAAAAACTGAGACCAAATTATCAGCCCTTTCTCAAATGACTATCCTGGGCAATAACCTTTCACCCAGCTCTGCATGGCTAAGCCCATGTCTATACCCTGGGAACAGAGATAATACTGATACTACCATAGCTCACCAGTAAAACACTGGTTTTCTTTCTTCCTGCTTCTTGTTTATCCAATCCACAGGAAAGGAAAAAAGAAGATGCAATGATGAGCAGTTTTGGATACTAGGAACTGAGAGAATCACTACTGCTGCCTATACCCTTGAGCTGCTGTAGAGGAATCAGCTTACCAGGGACCATATTCCCAGAAGATGGTTTCAGGGTAAAAGCAGGCATCATATACATGCTATTACTCAGGAAAGATGGAGCATTACTGTTCTCCCACCCTGAAGCTTCTGTGAGAACTACAAACTTACTAATGATGCTTTACCCCAAATGCTCTTCTTGCCACCAGCACTCAGCAAGCCTGTTCAGAGAGGAACAGCACAGTGGCCTGAAAAGCTGATCACTGCCTTTTGTAGGGCAGCACTTATCCACCACATGGCTTGCCATGGAGAAGATCATCATGTGTGATAGCCCCATGATCCTGGCAGGCTGAAAGCCCTGTAAGGAAACACTTTTAGCCAGCCTCCCTGTGTGGAGGGGCTGAAAGGATGTCAAGGTTGCCAGTCTATGAGCAGCAGGAGCCTAGGCTGGGACACGCGGAGGCGGGAGCCTAGGCAAGATTCCAGCAGGGGGGAGACACTAGCAAGAGAAGGAAAGAGGGAATACTAAATGGGAAGGACATAAACGTGTGTGTATGGAAGAGATGGGTGTTTGGGAGGGGTCAAAGTGAAGTCACAGCAAATACTTGGTGCCTCCACACTGCTTCAGCCTGGCTGCTCCTAGAGAAACCAGAGCGCTGCTGCCTGTGACTGGAGCTGTGGCAGGCACAGGGGAAGGACATGCCTCCAGAAAAGGAGATAGAAATGAATCCTAATTACTGGATACTGTCTGCATCCTGTAATGAGCTAAACAGAGAGGGGGATGAGCAAGGCCAAAAGAAGCAACCTCCAAACTGCTTCTGTGCCTTTGCTAAGCAAACGTCTCCACTATTCATGTGAGTATTCTACCACTTCTTACTGAGTCATACTACCTCTCTCTTTAAAAAGCCACTGGAGTTAACAGAACGCTCATACCACTGTGAAAATCCTGTACCTGCTATTGTAGGTACAGGACCTATTATTAGCAAGGCATTATTATCTGTCATTTGGATTGTAAACTGTCTTACTGTGAGCTAGTCCATGTGGATTGCTCTGCATCAAACTCCTAACCTTGCCACAGCTACTCTTCTGTAAATTTCCATGCGGACACACTAATTTCGAGATCAGAATCCAAGGAGGATTTAATGAAGCTCAGCAGTACTCCAGGATGTGTACAGTGCCTCCCATCGCGGAGCCAAACCTCCATCAGGACTTGCGCCCACTACAGGCAGAGAATAACTGCATTGGCAGGTCTGAGCAGGGAGAGAAGGCTGAGGCAAGGGGAAAGGAGTTTCAGTGCCTGTGCTGCAAGGGGTGTGAACCAGATCCTCCTCTCGGCTCCTCTGCATACACTTTCCCACCTCCCCATGTTTTTCAACCAGAGGGATCCTAAGACTGCCAGGAAGGCAGGGCTGGAGTGGGCAGGAGGCATTGCCAATGCAATTGTCGACCCCAAGCTTTGGAGAATGACTAGGTTTGGAATTGCACAAGCAAGACCAAAGCCAATGAAACTGTCTGTGGAAAAACAGGGGCACAAAGTGGGGGGATCCTTTCCTCATCCTGATGCCTGAGCAAAGGGAAGCAGGTTTAGCAAGACAGACAGCAGTTGCTACAAAGGGGAATGTTTCTTACAGTCACTGTGCACAGCATAGGGAGGCAGCAGGCTGATGGGGGAGAGATCATCTTCAGGTCCCTCTACCACTGAAGGGGACCCCTTGGGAGGCGTCTTACCGGTGGGCAGGGGCAAGGTGGAGACCGTGTTGAGCAGCACCACGCAGACAGCCACAACATCCCATAACTTCATCTTAGATCTCCTTCCAACACGGGCCCCTGGTAGAAAGGAGAAGCAATGTTAGCTCACAGCTACTATGTTCCCCCAGTCCTACCCCAGCCCTGAGACAAAGCTAAGCAGTCTTGAACCCCAGATCACAGCGGTTCACCTAGCCCAGGCCTGAGGACAGCGGATGGAACAACAACCTGCTCCCTGTGCAGCCAGAGTGAGTGAGGTGGGCTCTCCCTAGTAAGCGAGTGGTGTGGGAGAGGGAGGCACAGGATGGCGTCCAGTCCTTCTATGCCTGAGAAAGCTGCAACGGGGAAAGCAGGCATGCAGGCCCCAAAAATCTGTTTCTAGGAACATGGGAGTGTAACCATGTCCCTGTACTCACTGGCAGGCAGGTCACCTTGTGCTTGTCAAGCACCTGGGCAGCACCAGGGCACTTGTTCTGGACCAGGGCAGACTGGGCTGATATGGGGTGCTGATCTGTGCAACCTTCCTTCCTTTCCCTTTCCCTCTTTTCCCCTTCCCTCTTTCCCTTTTTCTTTTTTCTTTCCCCCTTTCTTCTTCCCCTCACCTTTTCCCTTCCTCTATCCAGTCCTCTCTTTCCTCTTAATTTTTTCACCCCTTTTCTTTTTCCTTTTGTCTTCACTTGTCACCTTTTTGCCTTATACTCTTCCTTTTCCCCATTCTTTGTCTTTCCCTATTGTCTTCCTCTTTTCCTGTTTCCCTTCCCCCTTATTTCAATATTTCCTTTTTCCTTTCCTTTTCTCTTTCCACTTTCATTTTTCCTTTCCTCTTTGTTTCCATCTCCCTTTAATTTTCTTTTTCTTTTCCGTTCCCTTTCCTTCTCATTTCCCACTCCTTGTATTCTTATCCCCTAGTCTTTCTTTCATTCTCTCTTTTTTCTTTTTTTTTTTTTTTTTTTTTCCCCATCGATCCTCTTTCTTTTCCCTTCTCTTGTCCCTTTTTCTTTTCTTCTCCTCGTTTCCCAGCAGCCCTGCCCGAAGTCTGCCACGGCACGTACCCGCTGCCCTCTGCACGCCGCCCCGGGGTAACAGCTGCCCCCGCCCGGTTCGGCTTGGCCCGGGCGGCAGTGTCCGGACCGAGAGGAGCAGCCCCACCGGGGGGAACCGCGGAGTTCCCGGTCCAGCAGCGGGGCGCTGCTGCCGCTCGGTGCGCGCTTTCTCCGCCGGCTGCTGCCTTCGCACCTCATCGTGTTCGGGGAGCTGCGGGGTGCCCCCGGAGCCAGCGCCCGCCCGCCCCGCCCTCCCCTCCGCGCACCCATCCTCGCCCTCACCTCTGAGCTGGTCTCGTCGGACCCGAGATGGACATTAACGCCGTGGAGTCGACCGGCCGGCCGGCCTATTCATGTGGGCAGGTCGGGGTCCGACTGCCGGCACCCTCTTTGCTCAAAGGAGGGGGGAGGGGGGACTCGTATGGAGGAGGGGGTGTAAGGTCGCAGGTCTGGATGGAAGCAGCGGGGAGCCGGCAGCACTGTCCCCGGCGGCTTCCCCCGCCGCAGGTGCTGTGCCCGCGGCAGGAGCGGCTCCGCGGGGGTCTCTGCCCGCCCCGGCCCCGGAGCCGCGCTCAGCAGCGGCGGGAGCGGCCCGAGCCGCGGGGAGCGCCGCCTGGCAGCGGGAGCTGGCGCTGGGTGCTGCGCTTGGGACCCTGCCTGGAAATCTGAGAAAGACACTCCATCAACAACTGCGGGGAGTCAGATGAAGACATCAGCGCTCCTGTAACGCCAGCTGGTCCAGCACCGCCGGGAGCCGCGCACCGCTGGGACACGCACACCACGGCGGGAGGAAAAAAAAAAAAAGGAAAAAAAAAAAAATACCAAGGAAAAATACCCACCCCAGCGGAGGAAGGAAGGGGAAAACGAATAAAAAAATAAAAATCAAACCACCCCCCCTCAGCCTGCTGTGAGAATCAGAGGCCGGCACTGGGATTTGTAGAGCCGGTAGCAGCAGCAGCACCGAGGCTTCCTCCTCCAGAGCGGGGTCCCGTCACGGCGAAAGCTTAGATCCAAGCGGGAGCGCGGCGGGAAAGCTGGGCCGGTGTCGGGAGCGCCCGCTCCGGCTGGGCCTGGGCGCGCCGGGCTCCCCGGGCGCCGGCGGCGCTGGCTGGGGGCGCGGAGCTGGGCGAGGCGCGGGGGGCGCCGCACCCGCGGACGGAGTGAGCGCGGAGCCGGACGTGCGGACGAGGGGGCTTTGCCAGGGCGACTCGGCGCCGCAGATGGATTTATAGGGCCCTTTGGCAGTGACGCGCCCTCCGCTGATTCGCTTTCAGACCCAAACACACGCTGGCCCCCCGCACCGGACCCCGCGGAGCCTCCAAATATCTCCCGGCTGAAGTCACCGGCCCGACATACCGTGGGCTGCGCGGCCGCCGGCGCAGCTCCGCGGCACCCGCTGGCCCCGCGGCGGCGGCGGGGCCGGGCCGGGCCGGGGTAACCCAATACCGCGTCCCTCCCCAGCGCCGCTCGCCGCGCTCCCGCGGACGGACGGACTGACGGACCGACCGACGGCCGGCGGCGGCGGGGAGGCCGCCCCCTCCTCGCCCCTCGCCGGCCACAGGTGCCGCCGCCGCCGCGAGTCCCCAGCGGAAGGCGCAGTGCGGGGCGCGGAACCTCCGCGCAGCCCGGCCCCTGTGCGGGGGGTGGCGGTTTGACTCGCCGAAGGCCGCGGCAAAGTCGCTGTAAACAGTGTCGACTTTCAGCCCTGCGCCGTGTATTTATGACTCACGCAGTTGTCCGGAGGTATGAGATCCTCATGTCTCCGGTGCTGCGGAATTAGCGCGGCGCAGCCTGGGCGGGCGGCTGGGCATGGCAGGGTTTGTGCGGGCGGTCCGGAGACAGCTCCCTCCGCCTCGCGCGGCTTCTCTTCTAAAACAGTCTTTGCTTCTGGATATTTTATTTTTGTGGGGGAAGGCACTCGGGTATGGAATGGAGCAGCGAAACCCCCAGGAGGCCGGGTCGGTCCCGGAGCCCCCGCGCCGGCACAGCACCGAGCACAGGAGCTGCGGGACGGAGGGCCCCGCGCTGGGCATGGCCGGGCCTGTCCGGGCTACCCCCAAAGGTGACACCTGGCTGCGGGTTTGTTTAGTACGCTCTCCGCCCCTGGTGTGTGTACATGTGCGCACCGGCTCGTCTCTCTCGCCCGGAGAAGGGGAGCAGCCCCGGGGCAGTGCTTTCGGTGATCGCTGCCCGTCCCGGACCCCGCCGGCACGGCGGCCAGAGCTGCACCCCCAGGGCGGGCGGTGGTCCGACAGGGCGGAGAAAGGGGGGAAAGGGGCGCCGAGCCCTGTCCGGACACTGCCACCGTCAGCGGCACCGTGGGCTGCCTGCTCCCAACTCTGCCCAATCGCCTGCACCACCTCGTCTGCTGTATGCGACTTTCCCTCTGCCTCTTCCCATTCCACCGCGTATGTCCCAGGCCCTGCAGGAAAAGGATGCAGGAGGCAAGTGGGACCAGCTCCTGCTGCATGCCCTAGGTTTTGTGCACGGCTCACCCTGCACCACTGGCACCTTCTCTGCACCGTTTGGGTAGGAAGCAGGGTGAGGGCTGTGTGTGTGGACTCCAGAGCCAAGTGTGTGTACGCCAACAACACTTGTTAGCTCTCCATCAGTCTGAAATTTACCCTCCAAGCTCTTAGTTGTGAAGGAGATCTCAGCCCAGGTGCAGTAGCACAGTAGAGGGGGATCACAGTCAACTCACTAGATAGAATGAGAATCAATCCCTGTGACCTCCAGGGGACTAGTGAAGGCTTTTGAGATGTTTATTGGAAATTTGGAAGGGTCTGCTGAATGTTGACTGGATGGGCTGCCAGGACAAATATTTCTGCAGAAGTTGTCTTCCAAATTTCCATCAGATGACAAGATGGGGAGACAAACATGAAATTTCTTGTGAAGCCCTTTGGGCAGCATGGCTTTTCCATCACTGCAGTTGTCTGCCTACTATAGGGGAAATTTCACAACTATCTTCCACTAAAGGAGGCATTTGTGATGAGGTGATCAGCTTTTCTTGGGGCCATGTCCCCGTCTCTGCAGGAGCAACAGATTTGTGACTCAGAAATAAGTCACAAAAGAAAGAATTACTTTATTAGATTTTTCTTTTAAAACTTCAGGGTATTTTTTCTTCCTAACTGTGCCATTTGAAGAAAGAGTAATTTGCATGAAAGAGATTTCTTCTAAGTACAGGAGAGTAAAATATTCCCCAAAGTTATCTACTTTATAAATATTAAACAGTATTATACATAAATGTAAATGTTCACTTAAAAGTAATCTTAACTTTTTCAGTACAGACAATCTAGTGATAGGCACCTGGAATAAAAGTTCCTGAAGTACAGCCTCTGCAGGCAAAAAATGGGACAATGACAGAACAAACTGTTGAAAAGAAACAGGGTATATGGTATCTGTACAATAAAGGCACAGGCATCTGATAAATGCATCTGTTTATATATGTATGTGAACACTAGAAGGGGACAGGAGAAGGTGTTACAAGAAGCAGTGCTTGGTTTGGCTCAGCAGTACTCTTCAGGTTGTGTTACCTCTGTCACAAAGTCATTTACGTGTAGCTATGAGATGGGTGATGGATGCAAATGCACCCAAGTGCTGTTTGCACAAAAAGTTACTATTCCTGGCTCCCCACCTGAGCAGAGCAGGGGAATGGATACAACGTGGTGCCTCCTTTAAAAGTTGGGGACTTAGGCACACTAAAATGAATGCCTTGGTTACACCGTTTATGGTGACGCAGAGTCCTAGTATTTTAAGTGAAAGATCATTTACTTCATATATTGGACAAAATGAGCTCAGCACATTATTCTTTTGCATGGGTTTTGTCAGCGCAAAGCCACTAATTTTCTTTAAATAACAGAAGGTAATGTAGGCAAGACAGAGATTGTCCATCTATAATACTGCAGAAGTTTATTTTTCCTTGCTATTAAAACCTGCTGAAAGCCCATTTTTTTTAGCTTATTTAGTTCATGTGAACCAGAGTGAAAGGAAATGTTAGGCAGATGTCTTAGCTGCACTAATAGGATGGTTGAAATAAATGGAGAGCAAACCTGCTAGTTCTTAATCACAAAATAATGTACCTGCCTCTTCCTGTGCTGCCGGCACAAATCTCTTGGTAAGGAGAGTTACTGAGAGCCCTGTGCACTTTTTCTTGATGGAAGGTAAAGTAGCTGCTGAAAGATTTTCCCAGTTCTATTAAAAGCTACAAAAACTTCAGAATTGATTGTATTTTTCTATACAGATCATGAAAGTTTCAGAGCTGCTTGATATAAACTCTTTTTGGTGAAGGAAAAAAAAAAAAAAGAATGTCTGCTGTCAGGGGGGAAAAAAAAAAAAACAGGAAGAGAAAAATGAGCCATTCAGACCTAAATAAAGTATGTCTTTACATTGTGAAGTTTGCCTCTTCTAAAACAAGCTAAAAAGCTGCTTGACATTGTGCAGTATGGTCTCATTTTTTGTTTATATGTGTCAACATGATATATAAATCTCTTAAGATGTCAAGCGCTCCATACTGTAATTTCCAAGTTACCTTTGAAATATGGAACATGATTTCGTAGTCACAGTATGCCTGCTCAGGCAGTAAGTGGTGGTTTCTTTGGTATTAGTAACAGAGGAGACCATGCTGTTGTTGAAGCAAGTGCCCTCGGAAGTCATCTGAGTCACCAGGAATATGCACTGAGCGGCTGGATGCCTGGGGAAGCAGCTGTGTTTTGGGGCACAGCTGCCTGCTCCTGTGTGATGCCAAATGCCCATGGTCATCCCTAGGCCTGCAGGAGATCCCAGCAGCATTTGGTGATTGCCTGAAACAGCTTTGAGCATTCATTCCCTTCTTTTTATTTAAGTTGATTAAAATCTGTAGTGAATTCATCATTCTGGGGACATGGGTGGCTGCACTGACATCCAACACTGGACCTGCCGTTCCTGCATCCCATGGGAGGTGTTACCGTGACTTAACTGGTGGACAAGGGGTGAGACACTGGTTAAGGTAACAACAAGAGTGAAAATGTGGCAGCTGCCTGGGTAGGGCAGGTTTGTTGGGGCATATGAGGTGCCCATCTTGTGCTGGGGCCCAGATAACTTGCTCAAGCAATATAGTTAATTGTTTAACTGTGTTTATTGGAATTATTGTGAGCCAGCGCCAAGGTCTGTTCTTTAGCCTGGGGGCTAACTGCTGCCTTTTGACCACATCCTTCTCCTGCCAGAGAGGGTGGCTGCAGGCTGTGGCTCCTGGCCCCTGTGGACTTGTGCATCCATGTGGGATGATTTTTTCTGAGTCAGCATGGGTCCCAGCATGCCAGTGACTGTTCTACTAGGGTGATAGCATCAATGGTTGGGGCTGGCAGCATCTCTGCAGTGTTTATTT